GAATCGCAATTCTTTCAGACACTACTTCGCAATAGGCAATCCTTGCAGTGAAACGTGGCGATACAATGAATCCGACTCCTCCGACTTTTCCGTTTCTTGAGCCAGCTCCTAAGATCACTTCATGTCCAGTGTGCCATTTCCATCTTCCTGCATTGTATCTTAACGTTTCTTGGACACATGCTACATCAATCGCACACCTGTCCATTTCAGATACTAGCTGATCGATCACATAGTCGTTAACGAGACCTCGAGCGTTTATTGTTCCAATGTTTAGGAAACTGTTTGGCAGATCGCTTTCCGTGAGATTTCTCCCCCTCTGCCTTTGCCCTCTCTGCCAGGAAGGGCGGTGGCCGCACGGGACTGAGGGTGCTTCTTCTTGAACTTCACTCATAGATGTTGATGGCCTGGACTTACCCTCACCGCCTAGCCATAACTGGCGGTAGTACCACTGCCGGGTGTGGTACCTGTCCAAGAGGGGCCCGCTTTTAGCCTCACTCAACGCGTCGCTGTTCCGGCAACAACAACGGGAAGTAACATTGAGTGAGTTTACACCATCCCACCACTTTGAGGTAACGGGGCTAGGGATGAACATATAGTGTAGTTCATTGCGGACGGTTGGGCGTGTTCGTGCGGCTGCGTTTGGCGCGGTGCCAAACTCGTTCTCCACGAGTTGTTCAAGCGAGCAAATGACAATACTGTATCATACCTTTCGTATTACTTGTTTTCTACTGCTTTTTGTCGCATGCCCGTTTCAACAAGAAGGCAGAGAACAGCTCAAAGAGGGTGACACACTCATACTGGCTGACACGCCCAACCGTCCGCAGCGAAGTAGAGTGTACTTACATACATACATACTTACATACATACATACTTACATACGTACTTACATACATACAAACCGACACACAAAGTTACTGGTTTATAAAATGAAAGGAGTCAGACAATCTTTGACCAATATGTTCATACGAGTAGCTCACTTATAGTGCACTACATGATTCTTTTATATAGTGAGGTTGTAAACAATCACACATTGCCTCAAAGTGATACCAAAACATGGATTTTATTCGCGACTCTGCTAGCGGTTGATCCTTCTATTCACCTTATCGCTTTCATTGGCGCTTTTATTACCACACTTGTGATGAGTTTCTACTAAACGCACTCTATGCTTCCCCTCCCGTACTCTCCCTCACTAATCCCACCCACCCACATTATACCCTCCCCACTCCCACTTGCCCCACCCACTCCCGGCCGCTGCACGTGCTCACGTCCACCTGCCACGCGAGCAGCTCGTGCAATGGTTTGGAGTGCACTACATGGTTCT